GTTGAAGCTTTATATAATCCCATTAAGTTGCTTTTTAATATTATATTTTGCTGATCAATACTGATACATTAAATGCAAATCTACAGAGACAGAATATCTTTGCTCCAGTCATCGGTAATAGAGGATAGTTTAGACCAGGGGTCCCCAACCCCTGGGCCCTGTGGCCTCTTTGGAACCGGATCATGGAAGCAGCAGGCGAGCACGCATGCAGCTCTACTTCTGTGAGCAGCGGGCAAGTGGGGGACACATATGCAGCACCATTTGTGCGAATGGCAGACGCTTGTACCCGCCATTTACACAAATGGAGCTGCATATGTGCTCGTCCAAAACCATTCCTCTCTCCACCATCTGCCAGTCTGCAAAGCCGGAAAGGTTGGGGACCCTGGTTTAGACAGGACATCAGAATTATCATCCTGTATACGTTTTTAATTTACAAGTTTTTTTTTTCTTTTAATAGTACCTTATTGCATCTTACACAAATAATTGAAGGGATGATTAACAGAATAACAGAATTAGAAGGGACCATGGAGATCTTCTAGTCTAACCCCCTGCCCAAGCAGGAAACCCTGTAACATTTCAGACAAATGGTTGTCCAATCTCTTCTTAACAACTTCCAGTGTTGGAGCACCCATAACTGCTAACTATTTTCCTTTACCCTGTTCCTTTGTAATATTATTATTTTTGGTTTCTGTTGCTTGCATTCCCAGGATGTTTTGCAGTCACTCTGGTCACCTGCTCTTGAGTAACTTTTACGATTACCTGTAAAAGCTCAATCTGTAAAATAAAATTGTGTATTGATTCATATAAAAATAGATAATCATCTGTCTCTTTAAAGCAGGCATGTCCAATCCATGGCCTGCGGGCCATATGCAGCCTTAGACAGCTAGTAATGTGGCCCCACAATATTGTAAACTTTTAACAGAAAGTTTGTTATTTATATTCACTAACTGTATTACATAGTTTATATGGCAGCCCAAGACAATTCCTCTTCACTCAGTATGGCCCAAGCAAACCAAAAGATTGGACATCCATGATTTAAAGCCTTCCTATCCTTCTTCTTCAAAGTCCACCTTTCCTTTCCTTAAGACTGTCATAAAAAATATCTCGGCTTGCATGATTCTTATCTTGGAACAGGTAAGCCTTTATGACAGACAGGCTACCATAGAAATGCCATATCGCTTTTGCTAGTCGGTGTTATAATTTTACTTGATAGTAAGTTCTTAGGACCTAGGGCAGATTTATACAGGTGCAGAAAGTATTTCAAGTTATCTATTTTAAGCTGATAAGCACAGAATTAGCTGGGAACTACAGAAGCAACATTATATGCTTTGATAATAACCAGATTGGACCATCTTCAAAGGCAGTCTTCATGACTTTTATACCTGTTTTGCCTCATAAAAGGCACTATCCATAGAATTGGATGAGCATATAGAATACCAGCCTTCTGCATTATTGACATTGTTCTATCAAATTATAAATGTAGAACATTCATGAATAATATTGTAAGATACTTTGGAACTTAAAGGTAGCAAACATAGAAGGGAGTCAGGGTTGGGTGAGCATTAGAATATTTGTAGGTTCTGAGGGTTTCTAACAGGAAAATGTAGCATTATTGGTTTGTGCTTTGATGTCATGCCAAGCTTATTGTAAAAGTCGCCTGGTCGATGTCTCCAATTCCTTCCTTTGTCCTTTGAACTTGGTCCAAAACATTGTTTGGGCTGCTCTGGACCTACCACATTATTCTTATGTCTCAGTAAAGCACAGGATTCTTCAGGAGGTCATTATTCAAACCATTTTTAACTACTGGTGGTTGTGTTTAGGATCATCAATAATGAATGCCATGGTACAGGTAATCCCCAGGTTAAAAACGTCCAACTTACAGACAACTCATAGTTACGAGCAGGCTGCTGAGTCAAAATGGCAGATGGTACTCCCAGTCCTGAGCTGATGATCCACCAAAGTTGCACAGTGCCTCTGTGAGTGTCACAAAGTAGTGTGCATTTTTAATATATACTGTACAGCCTGTTTTCAGTGGTTAATGAAAGCATTGAGCAGCTGCAGTGGTTTTACCTAACGAATACTCCCGTTATGTAAATCATATCCCTTCTGATGTGCAAGAAGGAACATGAATGCTCCTCCTGATATGCAAAACATATCCCTTCCTGTATGCAAAACAATACGGAATGAGAGTACTGTGATTTTTTTTCTTTTTTCCCTATCTAAATTGTGTATAGAACTACACACATATGCACACAGATTTTCTTTCCCTCTGTCTTCAGAGTATCTGATGATTCTGGTTTACATACAAATTTGAGCTAAAGACAGACTTAGGAACAGAACATGTGCTTAACTTGGAGATTGCCTATACTACATGCTGTTCTTTTGTTCTACAATCTTGTTTGGTTTTTTTACGTTCCTCTGAACAGGGCCTTCTTTTAATTTCTCACTTTAGGGACACAGGCTGCAGGTTTCAGGACTCTGGCACCAAAGAAACCTGGCCACGTGAATCTTATCCCTTCTGCCTTTAGTCTGTGGAAATATCATGTCCTTTAAAGGGGGGCTAAAGAGCATTGATTTGATTAGTGGGTTAGTAGAGGGCTGGTTGTTCCACTCCACGTTCAATAAACACTTGTTATGATGGATGGATGTACACTTGGTCTTATGCCAGAGCATTGTTTTAAATGTAGGGACAGAACTGAGATCATTGTGTTTTGTTGGTTGTTATTGTACTAATATTTGCTTACCATATTCGGAGCTACTTTTATTAGACCAATTTCTAATTAGTTTGGTTTTGTCTTGCTTTATTTTATTTTGTTAAGACATACATACATACATACATACATACATACATACATACATACATACTACATACATACATCAATTTAAAAAGCCGGTGGTGGTGTAGAGGTCACAATGCAGTACTGCAGGTTAATTCTGCCGACTGCCAGCAGTTCGGCAGTTTGCTTCTCACTGGCCCAAGGTTGACTCAGCCTTCCAGCCTTCCAAGGTCGGTAAAATGAGGACCCAGATTATTGGGGGCAATATCCTGACTCTGTAAACCGCTTAGAGAGGGCTGTAAAGCACTATGGGGTGGTATGTAAGTCTAAGTGCTATTGCTATTCACTAGGCCGCCATGGCCAATTCTCAGAGAGCGAATTGAGGTGGCTGTTTCAAAATTTTTTAAAGTGGAATTGCAATTCAAGTCCCCTAAAACTCTCAGAAGAAAATAAAGATCAGGGTGTTGATTTTTCTCTTTTTTATACTTTCAACCTAATGGAACAATTTTTCTTCACTTGAATCATATGAGACAAACATGCAGATGTTTAGAATCCTGCTGTATGCTCCATTCCAAAATCCTTTTTTCTCCTCCTCTTCCTCCTTCTGGTCATGTGACCTACACTGGAGATTATGCAGACTCTTCTGTAATTCCCAGGACATGCACAAGCATTCACATGCACAACATGAGGGGAAAATGCATAAGTGGAGATCCTCCAAATATGAGGGCAATTCGGAAATAAACCTCCATTTGGTTATCAATGACAGACACTCGACGATACAGAACTTTTATTATACACATTAGAAAACTATAACGTTACATTACTTTTCAACATAATCACCATTCAAATTGGGGCACTTGTCATAACATCATACAATGTTTGTAAGTAGTAGTAGTCGCTCGGTGCCAAATCTGGGCTATGGGGGGGGGCAAGCATTATCGTGAACAAACACCACGCCGGAAGTGGTGCCATAGAAAATCCCGCCAAATGGGAAGATGCCAAAGGAGTACTGCTAGTGAAGTTCATGGAGTATGGTTCGACCATCAATTCAGAAACTACTGGGAAACGTTATGAAAACTCAAGACAAGCCATCCATAACAAGCGTTGGGGCATGCTGACTTCCTGTGTGCTGTTGGTTCACAATAATGCTCATCCACACGCCGCTAGATGCACCCAAGAACTTTTGAAGCAATTCCGTTGGGATGTTTTTGATCACCTGCCCCCCCCCCCCCATAGTCCAGATTTGGCACCGAGTGACTACTACTAAGGAATTTTAAACCTTGTAAGACGTTATGAAAAGTGACTCAATTTGAATGGCGATTATGTCAAAAAGTAATGTACTGTTGTAGTTTTCTAATGTATATAATAAAAGTTCTGTATCTGCGAGTGTCTGTCATTGATAATGGAGGTTTATTTCTGAATTGCCCTCATAGTTTATATAAAGTACATAATTATATATACACATACAGACACAACATGTTATTTTATTACACGAAAGAAAATACAGATGGATGCTGCAGATAAAGAGTTTACAAAGAATTTTAGAAGTCATGCTTTCCTTACTTTTGGTTCTATAAATTTAAAAATAATCAGCTGGAATGAGGATCTGGAACGGTTTCCAAGCTTTCAGTACTAAAGATACCCCTTCTGCTCTTGGTTCCTTTTAATATATTTGCTGAATAAGTGGGCTGTAAATATGCAGATCACTGGCTTCTAAAAGAACTGTTGTCTATAAATTTCTTCCTTCATTGACAAAGAGATTAGGGACTTTTGTGTGTGTTAAGCATTGGCAAGGAAAAAAAAGTGAGCATCAGTTACCAATTCTGGAATAAATGAAGAAAGATTATGACCATCCAATTATGGAACAGATTTTTCAAGCCTAGAATTGAAAAAGGTTTACATTCTCATTTTCAAGCCAGTATAATTTTTTGGTGTAGTAATTGTTCTGTACGAACTCCTAAATTTTACAATGCAGGTATGGTCAAATGGTCTTCCCTTTTGTCATTCATATATCTCATTAACTCCAATGGAGTCTGTATTTTCTCAAAAGTAATATTGCAAGCGTTTCCCCTCCTTAGTATTTAATAGCATCAGGAATTATACAGCATTCCAGAAAAAATATTAGCAAACTATATCTGTATTGTTGTCCAGAAATCTACATAAACAGGTATGGAAAATAACAATGAAATCATCTTAATTGATATTTTTTTTCTCTATTTTTAGGTCCTTTCTCACAACCTCTGCACATTGTTGAATGTTCCTCATGATCCAGTGGCCTTAGAGGAGCATTTTAGGGATGACGATGAAGGACCTGTTTCTAATCAGGGATATATGCCTTATTTAAATAGATTCATCTTGGAAAAGGTATGTGTTTCTCTATTCCTAACAAGCATGGTGAGTTTTCATTTAAGCTTTTGTTCTTTCCAACCCAACAAAATATTGGAAATATGTAAAGGTCTTTGCCTTGGAATTCTGTTAGTAACCACTCCAAAGAATAAACAGAACGGGGCAGGAGTGGCAGGAAATACCAAAAAAAGAAAGACTAAATTTGGAAATGGGAAGGATCCAATCAGGAGCTGAACAGAAAAAGTTCCAAATGAATAAAAAAAGAAAATCCCCCATTGCTTCCCTACAGGGAAAGAAGTTGACTCAGCTTTTACCAACTGTCTCCCTCTTCCCTCTAATTATTTGACTGAGAACAGATCTTTGCAGTCTAAAGTGTTTCTTTCCTGAATATAGAGTATATTTTTACAGCAATACTTGCAGAGAGAATAAATGGCATTATAAGCCTAGATTTGTTTCAAAGAGAAATAATCGCAGATGCCCTAAGATAGAGGAAACTAAAATTGTCTTAATTTAATTAAGAATTACAATTGTAAAAAATGAACATTCTGCCAAGGCTTAACTTACTGTTTCAATAATGAGTAAAGATAGGATATTAATGAATAGAACAGACAAATAACTAACTTTATGTGGTTTGGCAAAATTTAAGATCTTACAAGATTTAAAAAAAAACTTCAAACTATATTATCAAGCCAGCTATATCTAATTTAATCAGCAGACTAGCTGAGAGAGAGCAGGATTTCCAAATGGTTTATATACCGTAAACACTTTTAGTTTGATACAGTGAATAACAATAACAATTCAATAAGCAGTAAATTAAAAATATGGAATAGACATAGAAAAAGAATTAGCTCCGATTTAGCACCTGTTGCTTTGTTATTATGCCTGTATTTTCATGAAGATGAAAATGGAAAGAGAATGGCAAAGGAATAAGAAATTGTAAAAATTGCAAGATTAGATTGTCAATAAGACAAAATTCTATGAGTTTCTCTGTCTGAAAATTATCAGAATTATCTGACCTCGAATAAGTAGTATTGTTCTAAAGGAATTACAGAAACAAAGGAGAATATTTAAAGATTTCATTGAATTGAAAAATTGTATAACACAAAACATGGAGCACATGCTGGGCTTTTATTATAGGTATATATAACTCAGAAACAAAAGATACAGATCAAAATAGGTACATATCAAAAAGCTCCATTGTATAGATAGTATAAAATAACCTTTATTGTCACTTTTTCTGTGTACACACTGGCACACAGTGAAATGAAAATCTGATGCCTGCTCTCCAAAGAATTATATCTATATATATGAAAGTGTCCTTCCAAGTGACTTGAGAAATGGAATTGGGTCTAGTTGTCTTTTCTCTGTATTGATTTGAAGGCTTTCTAAATTATATAGTAATCTAAATGAAACTTATACATCATTTTTTTCTAACAAAGCTAAATAACAGATTTAAGAGAACCATATTTATGTTGATAAGTCATTGGATGGTTTTGAGTGATTATACCATCTAGATGAATTGGTTTTAGTAAACATAAATACTTGTATGAAGTTTAGGTCATTAGGCAAACTATGCATGTCATAGGATGTCAAACTCTACTTATTTTGAAGCAGTTTAGAATGTTGATGAGACAAGTTATTTCTTGAACCCAAGCAAGAATACCTTAACATTTTTTGGTCTAGACCAGGGGTAGTCAACCTTGGCTCTTTTATGACTCGTGGACTTCAACTCCCAGAATTCCTGAGCCACATTGTCTTAGCTGACTGCATGGAAAGCATGCTTGGTTGATTTTTTTTTGTTTAGTAGGTCTTTGCAAAATTTATACAGATAGGACTCAACTTATGGCTGTAATGGAGCCTGTCCATTACAGTTGTAAGTCATGACTATTGTAAAGTGGGTCACTCACATGACTGACCTGATTTTATCTTTTTTGCGGTGGTTGTTAAGCAAACCAGTTGTTTGCTATGGTTTGGTTTTGCCAAAAATTGGAAGTAAATGTTGGTTTTCAGCAAAAAAAGTTGTAAAACATGGTAATGTGTTTTCAGCATGCTGCAAATGGCTGTAAATGTGGTCTGGTTGCTGAGCACCCAAAGTGCAGTAATGGCACAGGGAGAGAGGGGTGGCCATCAGAACTTTGGAACCGGGTTATAGGTTTTCCTGGGGAGGACTGTTGTTACTTCGAACAGCCGCTAAGTGACTGGTCTAAGTCAAGAAATACCTCTGTGCTGCTTCAATCATATATTTAAAGCAACATTTGGGCACATACTTATTCTGTCATATGTAAAGCAACAAAATTGAGTGCAATCACTTAATTTGGTGACAACGATGGTGCAAATATTAGAACCATCTTGACTTCTATGGTATTATAGTTTGCCATCATTATTAAGATACTTTTAAAAAATTAGAGCAGGGGTCCCCAACCCCTGGTCCATGAACCGGCACCAGGCTGCGGCATGCCTGAAACCAGTCCACGCAAACAAGCAAAGCCCTATCTGCAGGATGCAGGCAGTACATGAAACCACGGCCCCTCTGGTCCGCGGAAAAACCTCTCTCTACGGAACCGGTCCCTGGTGCCCAAAAGGCTGGGGACCTCTGAATTAGAGGATATAATAACACTTTGAAAAACCTGCTTCTGCCCTTTTAAAAATGTGAGTAGCAAAATCTGGAAATAGAATAAGATGTAAGTATTTTAAATCATTTATATTTAATAAAGCTAAACATTTTTTTCTGAGTGAAGGCAACGTGTTTAATGTGCGGAAAGTCCAAAAGATGAACTTCCTTGTTCTGTACCGGTAATAACAAATAAAATCCCCGGAGCTTTATTTTTTTCAAGGTTATTTCATCATTTTACTGAAACTCAGTGATAGGTGAATACACCCAACTTGGAAGCCGGTAATAAATACCTCAGAAATCTGATTTCAGGTATGAGGAAGCTGTAGTATCATTTTACACTCCTCTGAATATCTGATTGTGCAAAATGAGTGGATTTTCTCCTATGCACAAAACTGAATGATTTTAAGAATCTGCCTTCATATTAAGTATGAACCAGTTGCCAAGCGTCTGAATTTTGACCACATGACCATGGGGATGCTACAAAAGTCGTAACTGTGAAAAATGGCCACAAGTTGCTTTTTTCAGTGCCGTTGTAATTTTGAATGGTCACTAAATGAACTGTTGTAAGTCGAGGACTACCTATATATGACTGATTTCTCCTTTAAAGCTACATTGGAAAGCAGTTAGTTTCTGGAGAGGAATTATATTAGCACTTGGTAGCACTTTAAAGAAGCGTTCCTGAATAGACAGCTCTATCTGCTTCTTTGACATTGGAGGAGGTGAGAAATATGCTAAATCCTAAAAAATGGTTGCTTCTCAAAACGGTGAAAGCTTTAAATTAATGATTTCTAGGGAGCCAGTTGAGAAGCAGTTTGGTGTAGTAGTATAAATCACACACACACACACCCCGCTAGACATGGGGGTGTGTGTGTGAGTTCTAGCCCTGCCTTAAGTCAAAGCCAGCTGGATGCTCAGCCCTAGGAAAAGCAGTGCCAAAAATTGCATGGACCTGTCCAAGTACTTGCCAGGAACCATCAATGTCTTGAAGGCACAGACACACAAAATGTGAACAAGTAAGATTGTCTGTGTGTCATTATTACAGCCCTTCTACAGGATTCTTTCTTTCCTAAATTATCTCCTAGTAGAAGATAGTTCAAAGAAGCAATTTTGAATTACCAACATGATAGGCATATGTGTTCTGCACACACTTGTTAACAACACACCATCTTTAAATGCAATATGCAAATGTGCCAGTTCCTGTTTCTTAAGCAGAGATAGAGGTAGATTAATTTAGATTGGAAATTTAGCCTAGAACAGAAATTAACTTTGGTCTCAGACAAGACTAGCTTCCCTGCAGTTTGCATAAGGAAAAAGGTTTTAGTTGGTTTCAGAGTAAGCTTGTTTTCAGTGCAAACTCCATGCCTGGTGGTCTGTGCCAATTTGGGAACACAGGGGAGGAAAGTGACAGTCCCATTTCCTCCCATATCAATGTCTTTATACTAATGTGATGAAGTAGAATATGGTTGGCCTTTTACCATGCTCTTTAGTGTGTGCTATATAGCTTCTTACTGTATATGGATCAACCTGGATGTATTGATTACTGATTGAAAAACCTTTTTGGTTAAAGTGACATAGCAGTGTTTTAAGAATACAGAGTTTTCTGGGCCTACAAACCAAGTATCACTGTATTGTGTTAATATAAATACAGTTTCTTAGGCAATGCGGTTTTATGAAAAGAATGTATTTTACCAATTATCATATACATTTTCCTTACTGCTTGCTTGGACTGAAATCTAGAAAGTTTATTTAGTTGTATTAAGAGCACTGGCTCTGTGCTATGTATACACAAGATCATTCAAGATATTTTTCCTGTGATAATCTTTACAATAAAAAGAATAAACTCTTGGTTTAACATGACATTTGTTTTCCTGTTTCACATTTCTCCTGCAAAACACCTTAACCATACCAATTCGATTCACAAAATACTTCCTCTTATGCTCTAGATGGCAAGTGAATTAATTATCTAGCTCAGTGGGCAAGTTTCAGCCTTCAACAAAATGTGTACTGTTGAATTGAGAGTGACGTGGAAAAATGCCCAGGCTGGCAGTTTAGCAAAAAGCAAAGAATAGTACAGTTCTTTTTTTATTACAGTCCAGATTTTGAATATGAAACTTCTAATTAAGAGTAAGTTATGTTATATCAGCAAGTATGGTTTTTAAATAATTAGTGCTTAAAGAACATTTATATTTGAGTATAATGTGGCCTAGAGGGCAAAAAAGGAAGCAAAATCAGTGATTGTTATAAAAATGAGTAGCATGTAGAGACTGAACAAAGGATTTTTTTGCTGGTATTTTCAGTGTAATCAAGAGTGGCATGGAGCCTAGTGTTGAAGATGCTTGCCTTCCACTTGGAAGGTTGAGAATTCAGTCCTTAGGTAGTGGCAAATGTTTCTCTTTCAGGGCGCAAAGAAAAAAATATCTGCTGCAAACTCCACGTAGGTGTCAGGACGGGCATCCGTCCAGGTAAATGCTCAGTTCCATTTAGTCACCCCAGCTCTACCCCAATTAGGAGATTACATGATCATTATATATATATATATATATATATATATATATATATATATTTGTTTTCTGAGGTTTTCACGGGTGTTTATATGTGAGTCTTTGGTCATTCGGGTTTTCTCCCGTGTAAGATTAGAAGTGTCATAGCGACGTTTCGATGAAATCACATTCATCATCATCAGGCTTGTGCTTTTAGCTTTGNTATATATATATATATATATATATATATATATATATATATATATATATATATATATACACAGTGTAATCAAGGGAAGCAGATGAAGTGCAATATTTAAGAGCTGGAGAGGGTTTTTTTTGTTTAGATGTCTGAAAAAATGCTCCTTTGCTGTTGGTTTAGGAGTGGAATTCCAACATCTTTCCACTGTTGCTATTGCCATTCTGAATGTATTGTTGTATCTTGTAACATATTTTTATATTTTTTATTTTTATTTAGGTTCAAGACAACTTTGACAAAGTTGAATTCTATAAAATGTGTTGGACTCTATGTGCCAAAAAAAACCTCAAAAAAAAACCCTTACTCCTTACGGATGATGATGCTTTTAAAGTGTGGGTCATCTTCAATTTTCTATCTGAAGACAAATATCCATTAATCATTGTACCAGAAGAGGTATGAGTTATTTCCAGTATCTTATTATAATTTTTTTGAGCTAAGTAGAACTAATGACTTTTTTCAGTATTTTTTTACATATAGGAATAATTTCTCTCCTCTGGTTTTTAACAGAAAAAAATGATCCATCAATTTTGTGTATGTTGGTCTTTGCAACTATACATATCACCGAAACAGGGCTATTTTTCCTCTTAAAAACTAGGCTGATGACAGCAGTATCTCAGATGAGTTTTAAAGGAGAACAAAGAATCAATGGCTACAAATCATGATGGTATTATTTCCATATTATTTCCAAGTCCAGAGACCTTTCATATCCCACTAATGGGCTTCTTATAAGCACTGGATGGTGGCCATTGGCGAAATATAACTGAAGACAGATAGACTTACTTTCTGAACACACTGATCTGTTCAGGAATGCAATAATTTATTAGCTTGAAAACTGCCTTAAAAACAGATTTTTTTAATGTACTGGTAACTTCCAAAGTTAGTTCAGCATATGTTTTCTCATGTAGTTTTCACTTTTTTTTATTCTGGCCAATATTTTGGTCATATGAGTGGTACAAGAGAGACAATTTCATTTAGTGTTTAAGGCACTAGACTGGAAACTAGGAGACTGAGTTCTACTCCTGAGACATGAAGCCAGATAGGTGACTTTGGGAGAATTAGTCTGTCTCAGCCTTAAGAAAGAGACGGTGGCAAACCATTTTCAAAAACATTGCCAAGAAATATGCAGGGGCATGTTCAGGTAGTTGCCAGGAATCAACACTTACCGTACCTGAAGGAAGACACACAAAAAAGTGCAGTTGTGCAGTGTAAGAGATTTTAGAGCAATAGTATAAGTTTTCCTAAACATGTGTCACATTCATTTAACTGTTGTGTATCTTTTTCTGTATAGATTGAATATTTGCTTAAGAAGCTGACAGAAGCAATGGGATTAGGTTGGCAT